AAGACAACATGTGATTGATATATTTGGGCACCACAAAGCTAGGGCCGGCTATTAGGTATGCACCCTGAACAACAGCTCAGTCCCCATCATTTATAGGACCCCTAATTTTCTTCATTATATTTTTATTATTATATTTGAGTCCTCTAGTTTTTAATTTTATTTTTCATATTTACAATTGAGGTTTTTAACTTTTGTAATCCTATTTTTCATCGTTATAATTGAGGCCCTTAATATTTTCAATCTTACTTTTTTATATTTAGAATTTATGACCTTAAGTTTTTCAATCCCACTTTATACATTTACAATTGAACTCATATTATTTTCAATCTCACTTTCTACCTTTATAATCGAGGCTCCTAATTTTTTAATCTAACATTTTACATTTATAATTGAGGCCCTAACTTTTTTAATCTCATATTTTACTTATACAATTTAAGCCCCTAATTTTTTTCAATCACACTTTTTACCTTTAAAATTGAGACCCTTAATTTTTTAAATCTCACTTTTTACATTTATAATTGTGGTCCTTAATTTTTTCAATCATACTTTTACTTTATAGTTTAAGCCCCTAATTTAATTATTTTTATATGATTTATTAATATAATATTAAATTATTTATTCAAAGTAATAAAATATACTTTCATTTTATAAGAGTCTATATTTTAGTTTCATTCAGGCCCAGAAAATGTCTTAAATGACTCTTCATAAACCCAAGCATTATTGTGAGGAACACAATAGGTCAAGGGCGGAGGCATAGTTTACAAGTTCTTTTATGGAAATAATACTATGTTAGAACCAAAATCATAATAAATACGAAAAAGCAACCAAAATCTAATCATATCAAATCATCAAGAATAATAAATATCATATTTGGGGAAGCGTATATGAATTAACCGATAGGTTGAAATCCTTGAGTATATCTTTGGTTTTGATCTTCCAAGAAGATAGAGTTCCCTTAAGTATAAGTTCTCTAACGGAGATAAGAATCAGTTTTTGATTTTACTTATAACTCTATCCCTCATCAAGTTATAAATGCAACTTTAGTAGTATATACACTTTTATTTTCACAACACTTTTAATACCTTACGACTTTATAACATAATTGGTCACTTAATTTACGCCATATTTTATAATGATAATATAAATTATAAATAGCTTCCCATAATTACGGATTTTAATTCAACATACTAAGTAAAATAAAAATTTTAATAATGGCCTGTAAGAAAAAAATTATATAAAATAAAATACAAACACGAAAAAATTATGACCGGATAGGCGAGGAACACGTTTGTTAGGTCATAACTACAATTACTTAAAGAAAGAAAATATAAAGATTAAATTTAAACATTTATAGCATATACTTAAGAAATGTGAGCGAGATGCAACGTGAGATTTCTCGCTTTGCATTACCAACACTATTCTTTAACGCAAAGTGATAGTCTTGTAAATATGAGCAAATGAAATTAGTCACTTAAGTACTAATATTATGTGAATTTGGATTAATATGTAGTGACATGAGTATTTATTTTCTTTAACAAATAAATGAAGCTTGAACTTGTTAAGATAAAGATTAATCCATGACACACAATTAAATTATGAAATAAATAAACAAATTTTAACTAATACACCTCAAGATGCTTGTAAGTGTTGGTCATGCTCAAGAGAGTTAGAGTATTTAAGTCCCACATTGGGAAGGGGAGCATTTAAGTCCCACATTTTGAAGCGAAATACATTTGAGAAAGGTATTTAAATGGGAACTCTTTCCCTTCTTTAGTGAATGTGGTGAAAATAACTCATTTACATGTGCTCATGCGCACCAAGATCATTCAGTATGCTCGGTCTGTGGTTGTTGTCATGGTAATATGTGTGTTCAATAGTTCCATGCACTATTTTAGAAAAATTACAGAAGAATTTCTTTGAAATTATTTTTTTGTAAAACTGAAATGAGATCTTTCAAATTATATTTATAGACAAAACAAATATTTTAATGGTGTATTTACTTGATACAATTACAAATATTTTAACCGGTGTATTTATTTACTAGAATTACATGTTAATTGTTGAAATTATATGTTGATTGATAAAATTATGAATTAATCTGATGTGATACAACAACTGTAACAGTTGTTAATATTTGGAAGATTGATTGTTAAATTTCCATGGTTTAACCTAGATGGGTTTAGGGCTAGGTTCAAATCTTTATGGCTGTAGACAACAACATAATTTCTAAATTTACAGAGCTTTAAGTCAGCCGTTTGACTTGCTGATTAATAGTTATCATAACAACTATATTTTTTTTGGGGGGAATTTGGATAGTTTCGAGGTCAGATTAAACAAGTTACAAGTTCATTACAATATTTATTCAACCATTATTTTTGCAAATTGAATATGTGTCTTTATGATGGATTTACATGGATATTTTTAACCCTAGTGACAAACCTATAAGTAGCTAATTATTCAGCATTTGAAACCATTCAATTCAAAACAAATTTCATATTTATATGTATATTCCTCTTTCCTTTAAAGCTTTCTAAGCTTTCTTTTTTGGTGTTAAGAGAAGAGCAGTACCACCATTTTCCACTCTAATATTTGGGTGTATGACTATTAGAGATAACATGCTATCTTTGGGGAACGAGAGCACCTACTGAAGTGATTACACACAATGAGACAAAATCATTTCTAAGGCAGTAGTTTATACCACGACATAGTTATTTCTTTACCATTTTTTTATTTTAATATTATCCAGTAAGTACTAAAGGTTTGATTTTATAGTAATTTTACCAAAAGTTTAGAAATGGTTTAATATTGCAAAATGTGAAATCTCGGGTAAAAGTTTGTTATAGATTTGTCCAAGCTCGACGCACTCGATGAGATCAATTTTTTGAGTGTTCTTAACATATACTCTTCTTATTCGAGTAACATGGTCTTGAATACGTGTTGCTTAAGCCACCACCTCGTCCCATTTCATTATCCTTAGACGATGCATTTAATGTTGTTGGTGGTGACGGTACCACCCACTTTTACAGGTGAAGTTCTTTATCCTGCTGCTGTTTTTGTCCCTACTCCAGTGTTCAACATGTTTCTCAAATAGTAGAGTGCAAAGTGAATTTGGGAAACGTTGGAGAAGATGTATGGAGCCGATGATGTTGGTATAAAGAAATATGTGGCCACCTGATAACTCTCTAAAAGAGTTATCTTTAGTATCCTTTTTTGCCTAGGTTTAGTTTGAACTTGATTATTTTTAGGATAATATTTTTTTTAACATTTTGCATAGTAGGAACTTTTTAGGTTGCCTATTGCTGAATTTGAATTTTGTTGCTATTAAACTGTTACACTAGTGCCGTAGCATTACAGGAAATGCTGAGCGAATGCTGCAACAGCCGATGAAACTCCAGACGATTAGAATAACTCTCTGGATGGGAAAGATATCTTGAGCAGTTGTCAATGGATTGGATATCACCTGAAACATGGAAACCTTTCTTTGGAGGATGAAAATCTCCTTAAAGCTATAAATGAAAGTAGTTTGCAAGCTAGAAAAGTGTAATGATCGGAAGCAAATAGAAATTACTCATTTCCACGTTAATCCTCCTACGTCATGGAAGCTTAAGCCCCTTGTCAGGGATTGCTACAGCACAAGGAGAGCTCGCTGAGTAGCAATGGTAGTCAGCAGATCGCCATTCGAATCCTTCTATTAAGAGAGTGAGTGATTTGGATGTTTTATAAACTTTATGGATGATATTGTGGATTTATTTTGTTATGTTTATTTTTCTACTTCTTTTATTTTCTTATTGCTTTATGATTATGAGTAGAAATACTTATAATTAAATGTATGGTAATTTCAATTACTTATAGAAATAGATTTGGTTGATTTGATTTATACCTTTGATAGCATTGGTGTTGCTGAGTAGCAATGTGTGTGTTGAAAATAATGCAACCAATCGATTGGATTTATTAATATTTTTAGCCTTTAATTAATGAAAGTAATTAGAGAATTTCAAAAGGTTTTAATCAATGCTGAACACATAGATTTAGTATGCTATGTTTACATAAGGTAAGATGTTCACAATTTCCTTTCCATCGATTTGATATCTGACTTAGTATTCGCTGAACTATTGTAGAATGAACTGGTGTTTCTTTTATTGATTTCCTTTACTTAGCATTTATTCCTTACTCGTCATTCTTTTATGCCTAAAAACTCTAATGAAAACATATTTCTCCTTATGGGTTTGAGATCCGTATCATTAACTTGCTTCCACTTTATTACTTGATTTACGACACGTACACTTGTATAGTTGCTATAACATTTTCGTAGCATCAAGTTTTTAGTGTCGTTGTCGAGGAAAACCAGATTGATTTAGAGTTTTTCTTTATTTCGTTTACTTTTTTATTTTCTTTTATCGGTACTTTTTAGTTTTCATTTTTCTAGTGTATGCCCCGAAGCGACGAAGTATTAGAGCCATTTGATTCAGAGATTGAAAGTACTTTTTAGAGATGTCACTAAGAAGCTGCAAAAAATAGAACAAAAATGGTTGGATGAAGGAATGGAATTTTACCCTTATTACATAATGAAGATGATGGTGAGTTGATTGGTGACATTGGAGCTGGGCAATCATACCAAAATATGGATGATCGTGATCGTGCTATCTATGAGCATGTAGTGCCGACTCTGGATAGTATACATTCATTCATAGTGAGGCCAATGATTAATGTTGTGTACTTTAAATTAAAGACGATCATGTTCCAAATGTTATATTCTATGGGATAATATAGAGGGTTTATTATTGAAGATCCTAGAGCTCATGTGAGACGTTTATAAAGGTTTGTGATTTTTCTATTCAGTAAGGTGTTCCGGATGAGGCACTAAAGTTGAAGTTATTTCCTCATTGATGCATGACAAAGCAAGGGTTTGGTTTATTTCACTACCACTAGGTGATATTGCATCTTGGAATGAGTTAGCACAAAACTTTTTGTTGCAATACAACCCACAGAACATGAATACGAAACTTTGAAATGATCTAACTTCATTCAAGAAAAGGAGGATGAAAGCTTTTATGATGCAAGATAAAGATTCAAGGATTTGTTACTAAAGTGTCCTATGCATGGATTCCCCTATTGGACCCAAATGGAGATGTTTTATAATGGGTTAAATATACATACTTGTATGGTGGTTGATGCTTCAACGAACAAAGCTTTGTTAGATAAGGCATATAATGAGGCTTGCGAGATTCTGCAAAGGATCTCAACTAATGATTGCAAATATTCCAATACGAGAAATATGTTTGGTTGTCGCCATGCTATAGCAATAGATTTTGAAGCTTTCAAATCTATGGCATCTTAGATTTCATCATAGACGAAAATGGTGAAGAAATTGGAAAAACCATGAGAAATGTAAGAAGTCAAATCTGCATCTCTCATTACTTAAGTTTATTGTGGTGAATTACTTGTGTTTATTATAGCGATAATCACAACTTCGATGAATGTCCCCAAAATCTGGAATATATCTATTATGTGTGTAATTATCAAAGGAATGAAAATGCTTTCGGTAATACATATAACGCCAATTTCAGAAATCATCCTAATCTTTCTTAGTGAAGTCAGAATGTTGCCAATCCATAGCAACAACATTATAATCAATAGAACTCGATGCCACAACCATAAACACAATATCCAATTGCTCAAGCACAACAAAGGTAAACATATCAAGCTCAAACTTCAACTTTATCATCTCTTGAAGCTTTGATGAAAGAGTATATGGCGATCCAATCAACATCGCTAAGGGATCTTGAGAATCAGATGGTGAAAATGGTAATGCTCTTAATAATTGGTTGCAAGGAATGTTGCCTAGAGATACTGAAAATCCAAAGCATAATGGTAAAGAGCATTGCAAAGGCATCATTTCAAAGAGTGGAATTCATATTGGGGAGCTGGTTGAGGAGCCTAAGATGAATGATATGAAAGTTCCTAAGCATGGTAAGGAAAAGGGAAAAAATGTTGAGTCTAAGCCACTTGTGACTCATACCACAACATCAAATGCTGAACAATGTAGTAATTCAGAGGCATTGTTGACAACATCGCCTACTACTTCTGACGCTCCACCAACTTCAATTCCACAACAACAACAAAAAATGCCTCAACCATTTTCACAACACTTCAAAATACAAAGAAATATCATCAATATAAAGATTTTATTAATTTCTTTCGCCAACTCACAATTAACATTCCGTCAACTTATGCTTTAGAGAAAAATTCAAATTACATCAAATTCATGAAGGAAGTTCTTTCGAAGAAAATGAGACTTGGTGAATTTTAGACTGTTGTTCTTATTGAAGGCTCTTGTTTTATGGCTATAAGCCAATTCCCACCAAAACTTAAAGATCAATGGAGTCTCACTATTTCTTGCAACATTGGTGATACATTTGTAGGTAAAGCTTTATGTGATTTAGGTGCTAGCATAAATCTAATGTCATTGTAAATCTTTAGGAAATCTGGGAGTCGCATAGCAATGCCTACTATGATTACTTTACAACTTGATGATCGTTCTACCGTGCATCATAGTGGTATTGTGGAGAATATGCTTGTTAGAGTAGATGTCACATATTGTGAGTGCTATAAATTACACAAAAAATATGTGCAAGTATAAATAATCAAAAAAATAATATAATAGTGAGTGAGTGTCGTCTGTATAGGGATTGGAGGGATCTTGTGTAAAGTTTATGAACTATTCTAAAATAACTAAGTATAGTTAATGTGGTATGAACAAGTGAGATGGAAATGTTGAGCCAAAATGAACTTTACACAAATGAAGTTGCAATTGCAATATGCAAAGGTATTAAATGGAAATGATATCACTTAATGCAATATGCAGTGTGGATGGATGGTAGATGGATGTGTTATTGAAAATTAAGATGTAATGGTAATGTGGCAATAAAGCAAATAGAAATGATACGACATATTAATATGTTTAAAGTGTAACCAATTAAAATACTAAGGTAAAATAAAATTGAGGATCCAGGGATACATAAGATAATTTAACAATCCTCACACAAATAAGCTACAATGGGAAGGATTGGTGGGGTCTCTAAGGAATCCTAAGCCTTGTCTATTAGAATAGTTCAAGCTTCTATGGCCTATTTACTCTACAGAGTTTCCTAAAAGTGATCATATGTTATCTCTCGTCATGGAACTTGATACATAAAAATGCCACAACAACACCTCTCGACGTGAACATAACATTAAACATATTGATTAAACATTACTCCTTTTAGTTGTTGAAATCCTAACCGTATCTCTAATGCCATATTGGGTTATAGTTAGTAGTTAAAACCCATTGTTCACATTGATCTTCACCTTATTTCTCTCGAACACTGAGTATCAAACTACCTAGTTTATCTCGAACACTATGTAGTGAACCTAGGAAATGTCTACTCTCATAGCTCTTACAATCCTAAGTAATTAAGTACAATGAGAAAAGAAAATAATAAACATAAAAACATTCATTAAAACAAACACTTAAGCTTCCATAATAACCCACACCAAATAATGTTTAGTTCATGGTGGGGTTTAAATCATCCAAGAAAATAATTTGTTCCATAACAACCTACAAAATAGAAATGAAATAAAACACAAAGGTGGAGGATAAACTCCCAATGTGCGCTATCTTAAGCTCCCTCGGGCCACTTTGAACAACCTTAGTAGTGCTAAATCATCTTAGATACTTAGCTCGCCACTCTCTCGAGCTTTGATATGGATGTTAACACCAAGAATATGGAAGGGGAAAAATGGAAACTTTCAGCCTCCTTTTTACTCTTGCCTACATCACTTTTCCCTCCAAAAGAACCCTCTTTAATTTTTATAGCCACCTTTTATATTTATACTAAGGGAATGTTCTATGTTTTAGTGAAAAAATTCACATAGTATCCTAAGGTTCATTCCCCTCAAATGAAAATGGGAACAAAGGTGGATGTGGTCCCTCCTAGGTGGTTAGCATCAGAAATCACATGAGTGTTGTACATGTAGCACTTTGATGAAAATATCTTCAACGCTTTTTATTTTTCTACACCAGAAATGACATCCTAACCGCTACTGTATTTTCCTCATACTTAGTTATGCCAAATTACCTTAGCAATTCTCATTTGCTCACCATCTGGGAATGTTGCGATAGTTCTCCATGCTCACTCTTTTTTCAGTAACTTGTACAACATTAGCAAAACACAACCTTCCCCGTAAAACAACACCATTTACAAAATAATATGCCACAATAAATCTAAACCATCAAATGGAATAATATGCTCCTTAATGCATTTATATGAACGTATATGTGTTTTAAGATAGCCAATAACTTAAGTGAAAAGGACCTGAATATAACCTTTTTACGGAGTTAACACCCCTAAACTTAACCTATTGCTTGTCCTCAAGCAATTGATAGTAGTTAGCAAAAGAAAAATGTCATGGAAAAGTTCAGTTTCAAGATAGTCATATGGGATAAAATCTTAGCCCTCAGAATAATTGGCTTCAACATGCTAGACATGTTGAGAAATCAAGAACTTATCTCTAGGACAAAATCCTTTGCATGTGTGTGCGATTGTATCTAGTATATGCTTAACGAAGGTAGAAAATTTCTAATCAAGCACTCTTGTTTTGCTATAACATTTATTATTCAATTAAACACAAGATTCACTCCCATTTCTTTAACATTTAATAAAAAATAATAATGTTTAGAACTGTTAAAAGGGGATTCAACCTATCACAATTACCATCCCACACTCTAGGTGTATTGGAGCAAACATTACATCCTCGAGCTAGTTAGGTAAAGTTATCCCGTGACTACTTTCATTCACTTGTATGTTATAGCTTTCATTTATTGAAACGCATTATCAAGGCAATGCCATAACAAATAGGAGTGTCCCTCTACAGTTATGTTAGAGCATTTATTCAAAACTAAACATAATTCAAAATATATATAAGGGAGTTTAATTTAGCCTTTAATCAATCATTTATTATTTAAGTTCTCTGTCAAAATTTTATGCTACGACGTGCAAGAGTTCTTTCATAAACAATTTCTAAGTTCTTTAAGCATAGAAAACATACAATCAAGTATTAATAAATCATAAAGAATCAACTCATAGTGATGGTTATATCATTCTTAACGGTCATGTAAATCCAATTCTAACAATAAATACGTATCATCATTGGGCATCATCAACTTATTATAACAAGCTATCATAATTCTTACTAATGCCATGACAAATTAATTCTGCTAATACTATAATGCAGATGTCCTATTATTAACACTAAGTCCCCCAAAACTTAAGGGATGCAGTGTCTTTAATGATTAGTAGTAAATTAAACTAAACTACATGAGATGAAAATGCTAATGCAACTAGAGGTACCTCGTTGTGGTGATGGTGGGGTTTTGCTCATTGTATGTCTAGTGCGTTTTCTATTTGGAGTTAGGCTGGCTTGGTTGTATAGTCAAGAGGTATGTGGTGTATCTTCCTCATACTCCTCTAGTGGAGAGGTCTAAGCTTGACCAACAGCTCACTTCAACCGTCGCCTCATCGGTGTTTTCCAGTTTGTTGTGACATTGGGGAGGAGGGACCTCATAATTTATCTCATCGTTTTGTGCTGGCAGCAAATGTGCCTTCTTCCTGAGTTGGTTTGGTATCTATGAGGGCTTTAGCCTTGGCAAACATGCTTGGGACTCTGTTCTACTAAAAAATAATATTAAAATTAAACAGTAAAGAAAAAAACAAACAAACAAACAAACAAAACAAATAAAAATTACTATAGCAAAAAATTAGAGAGGGTTAAAGGGATGTAAACTCCAAATTATCCTGAATTAATATAGAAATTTTGTCATGTTCGATTAAAGCACCGGTATAGACCAAAATGCCTTACACATATAACAGTTTCACATTCATTATGTTTTGCTTGGGCATTTTGTGTCTTCAACATATGTTTGTCATCCCTTGGCATCCATCACAAGGTTTATAGAAATCTTGGACATCCTTTAAGGGTGTAGGCTAATAGAGCTCATATTATAGTACCTTTAAAGTAGTCCTTACTCCTTCAAAGTGATCTCCATATGAAGATGAATTGTAGTGGAG